CAGCCACATTGTCTGTAACCTTACAGTTAAATTGTATAATGAAAAATGCCATGGAATATTGTGAACTTCAGATACCATTCTATAACAAGTGAGTTGTACTTTTGGGATCATTAGCTAGACTTTAAAAGAAATAATAGTTTTACCATATATCTGGTTCATGTAATCGGATATATTTGTTCTGGTAAAACTAGAATTGTTTATGGCTGTTAAATTTTTTCAGCATTTGTCTATGCTTATTACAACTGATAAGTGCTTACACAGAGACATGTGTAGGGCTGTGTGACTCTTCTCCTAAAGAATGCATATGATTAATTGATACAGCTAATACATTGAAACAACTTGATATTAATTTGGAAAATTCAGAATAGTTCTTTTGGTCAAGCTGAATCACAGGTTAGATTCTTATTTTTGATAGAATTCAGGGTTTGTTGCACAAATGTGTTGGTTTTTTTAGTAGGAACTAGAGGGTGCAACAGTGGAGAAGGGAAGGAGTAAAACTATGTTTTTGCACCCTCCTTTTCAGACCAATATTTCTGAATAATCAGAGGAAGTCTTTAAAATCCCCTAAGAAGCAAAACATTACTCAATGAGTTTTTTTAATCCCCTAATAAACAAAACATTACTAAATGGAAATGGCATTTTTATGCCCCATCTAGGGGCATTATATTTTTCGGTCTGTGCATCCGTTCGTCTGTACGCCCGTTCGTCCGTCTATCCCGCTTCAGGTTAAAGTTTTTGGTCAAGGTAGTTTTTGAAGAAGTTGAAGTCCAATCAACTCGAAACTTAGTACACATGTTCCCTATGATATGATCTTTCTAATTTTAATGCCAAATAAGAGTTTTGACCCCAATTGACCTGTCCTCTGAACATAGAAAATGATAGTGGGAGTGGGGCATCCGTGTACTATGGACACATTCTTGTTTTAAATATATATTTTGGTGTACAAACTATGAAATTCCCCACAATTCTTTAAATTCTGAATTGCAAATTATCATTCAGCTAATTTGAAATAAGCAACATATTACATAATGGAAATATCAATTGTTATTTTGCAGGGGACAGATATCTTCATTTGACAGTAACTGTACACTTGGAAATACAATGTTATCACCAGATAAAAGAATATTAGTCTGGAATATAGGTGTGTTAATTAACACTTTCATTACTGAATTGTTTTTTTATCCACGTCTTTGTGTGGCCTGTTCAAATTTCCGTCCTTAGTTTGCTGGCCTGAATTAGTTTGCCATGTGCAAGGAGAAAAGTGAACATTTAGGAAATATGTTTGTATCTTCATAGTTTCTCAACAATTTGGTATCAAACTTCATGTTAATACACAATAAAATCGCTAAAATCTAAAATTCAGAAAACCAAGCCCATGTGTCATTTTGTGATTTAATCTCCTTCATAAATCTGTAATTATTTAATTACCAGGCTTTTTGGTGGTCAGTGACAAATATTTCAGGAAGCAAAACACATGTGACACTTTTCTTTCATCATTATCAACAGCCAATGTATGTGACGAGCTGTATTTCAGAATAAAATACTAAGCCCCCCTGTTGCCTCCTTCATGTTTCAGTAGCTATGGAATTGTCACAATGTTCAAACGTAAAGTTTTCTTATGATATGCATCTGTGAAATAAAGATATTTGATATGATTTGCAGTAGTAACTATTTTGATTTCATTCACCAAAGACTTAAGCATTTTTATGTTGTCTCTGATCAAGTTTATGATAAAATCTTAAAATGACTAAGGCAACATATTCCATTGATAATGAACAAATTTATAATAATTATTTTAGAACAACTGGAAATATAATAATATTCTGTTTTTTTCTGATTTAGGGTCCAAATTTACAACAAAGACAACACAGACTATATCAATGGAAGCAACAGTAAATTTTATAGACGGTCAGACTACTAATGCATATGAAGATCCATTTTGTAAAGGACAAAACTCTTATGCACAGGTAGTGTTGTGTTTTTTTCTCTTCTGTCATTATATATCGCTCATGTGTCATAGTATATATCATTACATTATTGTAATTTGTTTATGCGAAGGATAAGATACATTATTGCTACTCCCTTGGTCTCGAATTGAAAAAAACAAAAAAGTTTCAAATTACATCCTTCAGATATATTGAGAAGACGTTGTTTCAACAGATATCATGAATGATGTAATTGTATTTTGTCTCACAAAATTGACGTATGCCTCCTGCCTGTTTTATGTTGAAAGAAAAAATGCCAGGTGGCTCTTAGATTCAAAGAATTCATTTTACGCAATAACATATTGCAAAATTTTAATGATAACAATATGATTTGAAACTGTATTAACCCCCTTTAGGTGGGCCAAACAATAATGTCATATTCATCTACTGTAAATTCAGAAATAATTGCGATGTTTTTATTATTGCGAAAAATGCAACAGGGTTATAATCGCAAAAATTTAAACTGGCATTTTGAAATTTTTTATATGAATTAATCAGGTATTTTTCTCAATATCGCAAAAATTAAAATCGCATTTTAGTCTAAAATGACAAAATCGCAATAATAAATGCATGCAATAATTTCTGAATTTACAGTATCTATGAAATTAACATGAGTTTGATGGGATTGAAGAGTTCATATATTTTTGCTGTTTCAGTGGATTGATCATTGCTCTTTTACCTCTTTCAGACCTGAATTATTCATCTATATCTTGATTAACTTAAATCATTATATATAAATTAATTTCCAGCAATTTGTTGAAAGATTTATAAGAAAGATATGCTAATTGTTTTTATATTTTTAGGGAAGTTTTCTATATTTTGCCATTTGTATACAGATATTTTCATATATTTTTCTGTAAACAGAAATTGTGTTGCTGTAGATGAGACCAAAAAAAACCATGAATACTGCAAAGTGTGTACAAAACATGTTTAACCCCACCACATTTTTGCACCTGTCCCAAGTCGGGAGCCTCTGGCCTTTGTTAGTCTTGTAGGTTTTTTTAATTTTAGTTTATTTATATGTTGCAGAGTTTAGTGTGACGTCCATTTTCACTGAACTAGTACACATTTTTGTTTAGGGGCCAGCTGAAGCCCACCTCTGGGTGCGGGATTTTCTCGCTGTGTTGAAGACCCATTGTTGGCTTTGGGCTGTTTTCTGTTCTTTGGTGGGGTTGTTGTCTCTTTGACACATTCCCCATTTCCATTCTTAATTTTACTTGTTATTTTTTATATTTCAGCTCTTTTTCAAGGTCCCTGAGTTTACCCATTCTGGTTGTTATATAGATCCTAAGACTGTTCAAGTTTCTCCTAATGCAAAATTTAAATTAACAACAGGTAAGACACTTATATTATACATATATCAAAGTTATCAGGATAAATGTTATTTCTAAAGGAGAGGCAGAAGCAACAACAGGTATTCAAACTCATAAATCGAAAACTACTGACAACGCTATGATAAAAAAAAAGACAAATAACAGTGTACAAAACACAACATAGAAAACCAAAGACTGAGCAACACCAATTCCATAAAAAATCAGGGATGACCTCAGGTTCTCCAGAAAGGTAAGCAGATCCTGTGCCTCATGGGGCACCCTTCATGTTGCACATGGAATTTTTAGATATTACGTTAAAAAAAAACTGCTTCACCAGGAATTGATTCTATGCCTGTCCACAAATCATTAAGAGTGGATATTGTATGTAGTTTTAAACATGTCATTGAATGATTAAACATGTGTTAAAATTTCATAAGAATTCATGAACGTATAACGGTATAATTCAGTTATTGTAAGACATATGAAATAACATTGTAATTGCCTGGTCTGATGAAAGTCTCATAAATTTGGACCAAATAATCTGAAAATTGTCAAAACCAAAAAAGGAATATACTTTCGTTACTTGCCATAATAATTTTTTTTTAGATGTTTCCATGAATGCAAACTTCAGTTATCAACGCCAACAGGAATTTCCTAAACATTGGACAATACATAAGATTACACCATAAACAATACAATAAATAGGGGAAGATTGAGTGCTAAAAAACTTTCACAAATTGGTAGCTTAGTCAGTATAAGATAAGGAGATCTAAAGTAAATTGTATCTGAAAGATCCTGATTGCAATCTTAGAAGATAGTCTCTGTTAAATTTATTCTCTGTCTAGACTCAACGCAATTTAGTGCTTGACAAATTGTATAATTAATGACTATATGTGAACATTTAGATGTATGTTTATAGTTTTTTGAAGGGTCATTTGGTTAATACTGTCTTATTGATGTATATTCACATCTGCTTTTACTCATTTTATTAAATGAAAAACAATTAAATTATAACAGACTACTGGTTTGTGTCATCTCAATGTTTTGTTACTTCCAAAATTTTTACAATAATCTGAGCATACTTTACAGAGTATAATATAGAAATATGTTATTATCTCTAACTAGAAAGTTGATGTTCATGTTGAATAGAACATTGAATAAAATAAATGTATTAGAATGTTTGCAGTTGATTATGTTTTTTAATACAACTTTGTTGTTTTAACTTGAGAGGTGATTGAAATAGGATCAACAAATATTCACAAAATTACTTTGACCCAACACATAAATGTGCCTGTCCCAACTCAGCGACCCATTAGGGTCTTTATATTTCATTTTTGAAAGTTCACAAACCATTTGGTAGTATAAAATAATAACACCTATTTTAATAGGAGACAACTCTTGCAGAAGGGAGATAATTTGTGTTGAATTTGAAAGGGAAAATAAAGATACATTGAAAAGAGGCATTATCTCTACAGCTTCCTCAAGCTACTTGTGTAAACTGATTTTAAATTGTATTGCAGTTCAAGAATACATGACAGCAGAATACAAAATATGGAATATCCATGGTGACATATTGACTAGTAATATTCCAATATCTGTTGGTCAGACTTGAATAGTTTCTATGGCAAGAGTAAACAACATTCCATATTCCTACATGAACAATTTGTGAATGATGACCAATGGGTTTGTGCAATAAAACCACTTTATGTTAATTTCTTATGATTTAATATTAAACATAAAATAACAAAATCATGTCACATTTTTGTCCATACATACATTTCGACATTCATGCATCTTTGGTAATATATAGTTTGTATTGAAATAACATACAAAGCACTTTCATTATCCCACTTTTTTTTAAGTATGTAAAGTTCCACTGCAGCTTAATAATTTATGTCATTCGTCAGCATAAATTGTATACATTCTAACTTTCTCAACACGTCTGACTTTTTCCGGTCTTTTTGTTATTGTTGCTACAATTAAAACTAAAAATGCAATGAATGCTCCTGCTGCTCCTACTATGGCTACGTACAGACACCATGATGTATCCCAGTCCATAGATGTTATTTGTACCCCATAGACAACTACACCAGCCAAACAACACACAGCTGCAAAAAATAACAGAATGAGGAATGAAATTGATAATTATACTGTTGTTCATTTATTTTTGTGGGAACAAATTTTCATGGGTTGATGGAAAATTCATGGATATTTGATTTCGTGGTTTTGCCAAAGTCTGCATTCAAGCCTATAGAAAACTTGTACTTCGTTGAACATTTAAATTTGTGGTTCACCTGTACCCACGAAATCCATGAACTTTAGTGTCCCACAAAATCCATGAAAATTAGTATCCCATGAATAATAATGAATCCACAATAGTCTTTATTGTCAAGAATTTTTTGCCTGCATTTATCAATATGATTGATGAAAAATGGGCAAATGTTATTATGATTTCTGGAAATGATGCATGCAAATAATGCTATCAAAACTTGAAATGAAACTTTTGTTTTTGCGAAAACTTATCACATTGCATTTTTCACAATAATAAAAACTTGGCAAATATTTCTGATTTGTACAGTATTTAGATCATTCAGACCAGATTCATCAAACAAGCTAGTTATTATCAGAATGAAAGGAAAATATGTCTTATTAACATCCTTGTAATTTAAAAAATCTTGCTACTTTCACATATCTGGAGAAGTAGGTCTATCTCGAGAAGCATTCATTTATACATCTAGAGTGGTAAAACATTCTAAATTTTGAAGAAAAAAAATATTCACCTAGGTTTGTTGAAGAACTCTGCACATGCATGTTTCTTTTATTTTGACATTAAACAGGTCACAGAATATTTGCTCTCAAACTTGTCAATATTTGAAAGTAGACAAATTTTTTATTGGTTTATATGACTTGGAAGGAATCACCCATTTACTTAAAACAGAATCCACAAGGAACTTTATCCACACCTCAGTTGAATTAGTGACAATTTGATTGGTTAAAAACCATCACTTGTTTACCCCCTATTCATCTGTAGGGGTCAGTTGATTTCATAGGGGTATCAGGACGTCACATCTTCTATTATTGTTAATGTATTTCGTTGTTTATTTTTAACATTCTATAAAAAAAACTTTACAGGAAAAAGTCTCCTGTGAGATAAATTCGTTATATGGTTCTCTACTGACCCCTACAGATCCATAGAGTGTTAGTAAAATCCAAAGGGAATTCAGCCTACAGCCGCACCCCTTATTGATTTTACTAACCCTCTATGGGTCCGTAGGGGGTCAGTAGCAAACCATATAACTTAAGATATTGGTATACTCCAGTTGACCCATAATTTTTAGGTATCGCTTACTCTTTCTGAGCAAAGTAAGTATATTGTCACTTTCACCAGATATTTTAAACAAGTGTTAAGATGTAAATAATGGACATTTATTCTGTTTGTTGCAGTAAATTTTAAAAATTATACTTTATCGATAACTTAAAACAGAAGTGTAGTTAACATCAATTAGATAGCAACCCAGTAATATAAGCAAACAAAATGAACATGTGAAGGTCATCATATGACCTATAAGTTAAGAAACAGATTAACTTATTTCACCATAGGTATTAATTATAACTTTAGTAATCTTTTACTGAAGGAACAAATGAAAAATAACTGTAACAATCAGTTTAAAAAGACATTCATTTTTTTTCCTAAATATATTTTGCAATTGATACACTTACAGGGGCGGGTCCAGGTAAGGGCGTAATAGGCGTAAAATTTTTCAAAAAAATAAATTTTCAAAAAAAAAAAAAAAAAAAAAATTTCGTTATCTGCTAATATTGTATTGAATATGGCAATTTATCATATTCATTAATTAAACACATACTCTGATTTCTTTTTATACTGATTCCCCCATCCGATGGGTGACTTGGACACCTTTTTTTAAACAACCAAAGCGGTAAGTAAATCTATACATGAAATGGTTGTTTTGTGTGACACTTCCCCAATGGCCATTCTACATCTACCCGGGGGATTCTCTTTATATATATGATACCGGGTATGTTCAAACGGGGTTGCATTTTCGGCTAAATTGTCTGAAATGGGGTTATGTGTTTTTCGCCTTGCATTGGAAGGGGTCAGGTTGACTATCTAGAACGGGGTATTATAAATACAATGTTACACTATTGCTTCAGATAAGGGTGAATGTTTGGTACCATTAAAACGTTTAAACCTGCTGCAACTGTTTGCACCTGTCCTAAGTCAGGAATCTGATGTTCAGAAGTTGTCGTGTGTTGATGTGGTTCATAAGTGTTTCTCGTTTCTTTTATAGATTAGACCGTTGGTTTTCCCGTTTGAATGGTTTTACACTAGTAATTTTTGGGGCCCTTTATAGCTTGCTGTTCGGTGTGAGCCAAGGCTCCGTGTTGAAGACCGTACTTTGACCTATAATGGTTTACTTTTATAAATTGTGACTTGGATGGAGAGTTGTCTCATTGGCACTCATACCACATCTTTTTATATCTACTAAATTGAAAACAACGTTTAAACCTATGATTGCATTGGATAACAACTGCAATTTTTATACGTGGGCATGCAAAACAAATTTCTTGGTAAAGGGGTCTAAATACAGCACAAACAAAATTTTTCAAGACCAAAACAGTGAAAAGGTATATTTTAACAAAACAGGTATATATCAAAAGTTCAGAAAAGGCTATCGTTAAAGATTTATTTTTCATTTTTCATGCCCATTTCATATAACCTTTTAACTAAATTTACAACTTCTTCCAAAGATTTGATATCTACATGTTAATCAATACATAATTTGAATGATCCGAAGGCAGACTATTTTCACCAATTTGTCTATCATGGAGTCTGTTATAATACTTCATAATTTGATGCTTAATTGTTGAAATCCAGGAGCTTCTGACCTTCCCCATGGACCCTATACCAGGGTAAAATCCTGGCCTAGGACTATTGAAAGGTAAAGTAACGCCCTATACCCTAGAATTTGGAATTTCTCGTTATTGGTCTACTGCTGTTAAGATCCATCCAATCATTTTAATATACCATAGACAATTAATCAGTTTAAAAAGACATTCTATTTTTTCCTAAATATATTTTGCAATTGATACACTTACAGGGGCGGGTCCAGGTAAGGGCTTAATGGGCGTACGCCCCCCCTTTTCAACAACAAAAAAAAAAAACAAAAAAAAAAAACTATCGTTATCTGCTAATATTGTATTGAATATGGCAATTTATCATATTCATTAATTAAACACATACTCTGATTTCTTTTTATACTGATTCCCCCATCCGATGGGTGACTTGGACACCTTTTTTTAAACAACCAAAGCGGTAAGTAAATCTATACATGAAATGGTTGTTTTGTGTGACACTTCCCCAATGGCCATTCTACATCTATGATATATATCCAATCATTTTAATATACCATAGACAATTAATGGAGAGAATTCGGCATAACAAATATAAAACCCTGACACTTTAACTATAAAATATACATGCTCCAAGTCAGGAACCGTTACATTAGTGCATTTCACAATTATTTTATGTTTTTTAGCCAAAAAAAGGTCCAAAAAAATTTTCTCCTTGCTCTGCTTGGCAACAAATTGTATTATACGCCCCCTCTTTCAAATATCCTGGAAACGCCCCTGACTTACATTATTACAATTACATAGTAACAACTGGGACAAATATACCTTCAAACCTTAGTCCTGAAGAAAATGATATATATAATTAATTCCTTTTAAACAAACTAAACCGCATCATTCAATGTAGTTTAAAATGTACAATTTATATAGAACTGTGCATAAAATGTCTTACCAGAGATCAAACTACATAAAGCCATAGTACCCAGCATGCATCTGTAATACAGTCCCAATGCTATGTACATGTAGATTGGGAGGGTTACCAGTGGGAAAGATAGAAATATCAGTGCCAGGCATTCTAAACCTCGAACAGCTTTCAACCAGTCTGAAAAAATGAATTAATACTATCAATATCAAGCAATTTGAATATATGAAACCCCTATCAACAAATCTGAAATAAAACTGTAAAACTGTATTATCAATTTAAAATGTTACATTCTAACCCTTGGAATCAGAAGACACATGTAAAAACACTTTTGGGGTAAAAATTGCATTCATACAATCAGAACCCTTATGGCTGGCTTGAAAGTTATTAATTTTCTAGACTTTATCACTTACTTTTGAGGTAAAAAACAAAACAAAACAAACATAATGCATTGAGCAAAATATTCTAAACATTATATCCATGAATATAAGAAATTTATCAATGAAACATATACATGTCTTCAGATATTTAAGTTCTAAATGATGTGTATGTATATAACCATACTATTCAAGAAAATTCATAAATAGTCCATTGTGCATAAATCAAGTATCGGTACTTAAAATACCAATGAAGTCATTGTTATAGTTATATCTAAAATTGAAATTATCTTCCTTTGTCAATAATTGTAGTTTAACCAACTACAATTGATATCTCTACAGTATTGCCTTACAATGCTTTATACAATATGCAATATTTGATTTTTGGTTCCCACTGGACATTGAATGTAATGTTTACCCTTCAGTGCTCACAAGCACTTTGATTATATGTTTCTGGACAAAGCAATTAACAAAGCTTATATAAAATTACATTAAACTATCAAAGCAAGCTTCACCTTGGGACAGTTTTCAGCTATATCAGCAGTAAGATGTGACTTAAAACATACTACTTTACAATAATCAGGTCCAGGCATTTCTATTATTTTGTTTTATATAATCTGAAATAAGTATACATTTCAAGGGCAAAATAGCAGAGAAGACATTCTAAGACCTTCAACACTGTATGAGCTCTGGGCCCTTGGTCATAAAACTTTACTCAGTACTGGGAGTACAAAATATGTGCTCGAAACATCAAATCCAGTATATTGATTGGTTGATTTCTGAGTCTGAGTACGAAAATCGTGCTTGAAAGTTTTATGACGATAAGACCAGGTCTAAACAAATAACGAAATATACTTGGTTATAAAGAATTTATTTATGTAAGTCACAGAAGCATTTATAATGGCTTTCAAACAACCTGAAATCTAAATATATATGCTAAGTCTAAGAATAATTATATGGCTTTCTAGCGCTAAAAACACATCACAGCAAATCTGGAATGAAAATGTATTTAATCTGTCAGTGCCTAACATTTCTTACAGCAATCTGCATTTAAAAATTTGCCTGAAATGACATCTGATACAAATCAATCACAACTTTTAAAGGCCATTTAAATTTTCCATCAATAAATATTAAAATACAATAGTAAAAGAATATTGTATGAATAAAGCCTTACTTTGATAGTGATCAAATAGTTTTTGTTGTTATAGGGTCTACGGTAAGTACCACCAGAGACATATAATACATTACAATGTATTATGTCTCTGCTACCATTCTCAGAAGTTAATTATAGGAGTAAAACTGTTCTCGCCCTTCTCAAGCCCAAAATATAAAATCATTGGCTGCTTGAATAAAATGGAAGATATTTAAAAAGACAGGGTATATATTATTCATCACTTTAAGATTCAAACCAGTTCATATATCTATCATGTCTACCTAGACAGTCTCCAAATTGATTTTTTAAAACATATTGTTTTAATGATTTCCTATTATTATTTTTCTTTCTTACAATAAAGGTTTATGTTTTCTTCTCTAAAAGAAAATTTTAATCATCTCATTATTTTACGTCTTTAACTTGCATCTGATATCTTTTCATGTACTTAATTAAATTCCAATCCTCGTGTAGAGATAATATCACGTTTTCTGAATATTAGATACATTTAAGAACGTCATTGCATTAACTCTTTGCCCATAGGTCAAGGCAAAATGTCTGTCCCTTCCAACAAGCCCTCTTTCGTAGTGCACTTTACATTTATTTTCATATTTTATTGGTTTGTTCTCGTTCAGAATATGCATGAAATATTTGCCACCTGACGTTGAGCAATCAATAATTTATCTATCTTTAATTCCAAGGTAAGGTTTATTCGATAGTTCATACCAGTAATGTTTTCTATTTTGCTTAAATATCCTTTGAATTTCATCTGATGTTTTACGTGTGCACAATAAAGCTAACAATGCGCCCACATAGGCTACTTTCACCAGATAGCCACAACGCAAAACGAACATTGTGAACTTGGGTCAAAAAATTATTTCTCTAAATGTAATATTCCAGTACAAATTATTGATCCGTTTTTCTTTTTGCATATCCAAACCTGACAAAGACGCATATCGATAAGCTATGATGCACGGATTACAGGAGGTTCTCAATGATTTGTGGATATCCTGAATTCGAAATATGGAGGTCTTGATATATTTCAGGAGCTCATTAAATAGATAAGGTAAATGATTGAGGAAATAAATTTCAACAATTTCCCCAGTAAAAACCAAAATTGGCAGAAAGAGCTTCATTAAATGCTGTCAAGATTAACTGGTTGTCTACCGTTATACTATCAACTAGTGGACGCCTTACAGTTACACAAGACTTTATGGAAAGTGCAAAAGTTTAATCTTAAGATCTGCTTATATTGGAAATCAAACAATGTCCAAGAAAAACGCATTGTGTATTGGTACATATATAAAAATTTGCCTCTGCTAAGAATTATTAATCCTTTCAAAAATTATAAATAGACCGAACACTCTTCATGAAATACTTAAGTGATTGAATTACTTAGACGCTGATCGTTCAATCCCATTTGGAACCCCAAGGTTGACTCGGGCTATAAAATATGGCCACCTCGGTCTTCCAGCAAAAAGTAAGGCGTCTGTTTGGTTGTGTGGGATGTATAAAGGAGAAGGCCTAGTAAGACCCCTTTTTGGCCCCAAAATATACCACTTTTACAAAATTGTTAAAATGTAAATGTTTAGCTATATTTATTGGAAAGAAGAATACTTCTGTTACATAAAAATGGGCTGTTTTTGACTATACAATGCACATGTATCGGGTACTAGCATCATTAAGTCATGCTAAATTACTGAAATCTTCGAAATTTTAGCATTTTGGTTAATTTTTAGACGGTTTCCGTCTGAAATGGAAGTGGCCGCATTTGTGTTCATTCTTAATATTTAAATGTAAGTTGTATTTGATGATAATACATAACATATATAAAGGATGAGAATGAACACGGATGCGGCCACTTTCATTTTTGACAAAACCATCTGAAAAGTGACATATTATGGCATATTTGATAGATATTTCATATTTAAGCTTGAATTGAGCGTCTTTAATGACTAAATCAGTTCAAATCTTTCACATAAACCAATTGAATCGACTGAAGTAGACACTTAAGTGTTTAAAAGTGTCCAAAATCTTTCATCAGATGAACCTGAATTTTGAGGCCAAAATCGGCCCTTACCGGACCTACTCCTTTGCAACCTGGGCCCTATCCAACTTTCTATTACGGTTTTTCAGTGACAGTCCAAATTTCCAACCCTTCATCCCACCTTCCAGAACCTACCTTTTAGGAGTCTTTCATTTCTGTATTCTTTAATTTTTAAGGTAATTTTTCTCTATTCTTTTATATCTTTTGTCCTTTATTCTCTATTGTTGATATTTTAGCACCCCATTTTTCTCTATTAGTTATTTTTTGGTCAATTTTTCTGTAGATTTAGCCCATTATTTTCTATACTGTAAACCCCATCCATTCCCTCACCTATTGTATTAATTTTTGTGATTTCGCATCCTGATCATGATATGCATAAAATAATTGCCACTGGACGTCAAGCAAGCAACAATCGCTCAATCAACCAATCAATCTATCGATCCAACCGCATTTGGTTAACCGGTAGCATTCAAAAATTATCGGGTAGCATTCAAAAATTATCAGCTTGATAGTACTGTTACGACCAATTTGGTTTTGATGTTCGCTTTTGGGTGTCCAGAAGTTTGTGTTTTAGCTTAACTGATGTAAATATTATTCACATTCATGTGAAATCTGTATCAAACTCCAGGCACTACATGTTAACTGCACACTCCCAGTAGTAACATCGACCGATCACGTAAACAGTGCCTTGGTTATGACTGTTAATTTTCAGTTTGTAAATTTTATACTTGATTTGTAAGACAAATGTAGATCTTAGACTGTTCTGTTGAAGCCCATTTGGTGTAGATGCGCTAAGGCGTACGTTTTATATATTTGCTTTCCAAATGTTTTGTTCTCGAGTGTAGATGATGAAAAATATCACTGAAAAAAGATGCCATGAGCACTGAATATAGGTATTTCATGTTTATTTATATCTTGACCAATGTATAAAGTAAGTGTTTTCGTATATACAGAATAAGGAGATGGTTTTGATGGATGGTGGATTGATAAGAGTTTAACGTCCAGTGGCATATATTACAAGTATATCAGGCAGAGAACATATTTATTATATGAACCTTGCTTTGTACTTGACTGACACTCTGAGATATATTTTTAATGCCGTGCTAATTCACAAGGTAGCAGTCCGCAGAAAGACATATCACCACAGGCACTTGTTTCTATATAACTGACGAGGAAAGGTAACACCCGGCCACCGAAAGCTTTATTATTATAGAGCCTAGGTGGTCGAGTTGTCTAGCGCGTCGGGTATAGTGAACGGCGATTTGGTGCCACGATATCTCAGTAGCATGAGTTCGGATCCCGGCCAGGGAAGAACAAAAAATTTGCTTCCGCAAATTTACAGATCTAACATAATTGGGCTGTTGTTTAGACGAATTATATATACAGAATGTATTTTCAGCCTTGTATCACCATCACTGCTGGTGATCCGATGGATAAAGTCTGTTGTAGAGTCGTCACTGGTTCAGACGTACTTATAATATAATTGTTTCTGTGACTGCATCTTACATTAACTTGTAGGATCTTTTACAATAGATAATTCAGCTGATCTGTAACAATTCCATCTTCATGCCTTATATATCATGTACTGTGTTACGACGCTAGATAA